GTCCCAGTATGTAAAAGGGGCTTTTTGCCGGATTTTTCCTTCTTCCCCAGATTTTTCGCTGACCTCCTCCGCAAGGATATTTGGAGGGGTCAGTATATTTATTTCGGTGTTGTGGTTCGATTTTGGCGTTCACTTGAAAAAGAACAAAACGTTTCAACACCAAAATTTAACAATTACAATAACAAAACAATGTATTCACAAAACAATAAATAACACTTACATATTTGTACACGCACAAACTCGTGTATACAACACAACACCAAATTAAATAAAAATTACAAAAAAAATTATGGCAACTAATTTTGCTTATTTTGTTGGTTTTATTATTTTGGGGAAAATTTTTCAAAATGGACACTTTAAGCTAACACCAATAACTATGGCGATTTTCTCCGCTTGAACCCTTTTATACGGCCAGAACCAAACAGCATTTTCCCTCCTTTCCACATTTTCGCCAAATTTTCCGACGTTTATTTATTTTGTTTTGATGTATACCCAAACCTATTACACATTGACAGAGTTGTATTGATGCACGTTACGTGACTATCGCCACTAACTGTGATATCAGTTTTGCCAACTGTTCATATACAACTCACTTCGGAGCTTACCGTATCCGGCTCATTTTTTCCTGACCGGCAGCAAGCAAGCACAACTCATTGGAAAGTCGCTGCCGGTATTGTTGAAAAATTTAATTAAATTAAATAAGCATGCAACAAATATTTATCAAATTTTCAAACTTTTTCAGTCAAATTGAAAATGATGAATGAAAAGTAAAAAATTGTCTATGCAAATTGTATGCACAAGGATCTAAATGTGACATTTGAATTGAGAAAATATAAAAATGTATGAAAACAACAATATTTTCAGGAAAAATGGAAAACATCAATTAAAAGTTTTTTTTTTAGCTTGCGGATACCCTTAGGTAATGTTGGAATTGAATTATAATCCCAAAATTTCAAACGATTTATGTTCATTAATTTCGCTGGAATAAAGCGATATTTGAGCACAACAACGAGATATTCCAAAAAAAAAAACCAGTAAGGAAAGTAGTAAAGTCGGACGGGGCCGACTATATGATACCCTTCACCACTGTGGGTATATTAAACATATATTTTACACTCTTAATTTGATATTAGGTCGAGAAATTACTAAATTTGACAAAAAATATTGTTGGAGAATGTATTGAAGTTAAATGTAAGAAAATACTTTTGAAAAAATTCCGCGGTTTGTAGGAATCGTCACCGAATCGCTTATAACATATGGTTATCCTTAATGGCAGTTAAATATATAACTGTCCTTAATTCAAAATCAATGGATATCTGTCGCTCCAAAAATGTTAAATATTTCAAATATTTGTTTGCGCTTATAAGAGCATTCGGCTGCATTTTATATGACGTGAAATCGTAAAAAGGTTTGCTAGTCCACTTTTGTCTTAACCAACGCCGATATGATATCAAACCCATGTTCCGCCTGTAAATCTTATGTGTTCACGTGAGAATAAATATGTTATAATTCGAATTCTATGTGAAAGTGAAGATCACAATCGTTGTGTACATTATAAAAAACTTTTTTTGGCATATGACTGTGCGTTATTTTAGATTTAAGATCATTAGTAAAAAACATTTTTTTTATTTCAGGCAATTTAATGGTCAGTCAGATCAATTTGGATCAGCCCGTTATGTTTACAACGATTATATCAATGGCAAAGCAATGTATTGCGTGGTCACTCCAACGTGTGCGAAAAGAAATTTATTAAGAATTATTTCTACGTCAACATCACGGGTAGTACAGAGGTCGTCTCATTTAAGAATTTTATGATGGCAACCCTTTTTAATTTGGAACTCATCTATCAATTTTAAATAATATGAAAAATAAAAATTAATGTACAAATGTCGATTGGCTCATTTTCAATAAATTAAACAAAATATGTTTTCTAAAGCTGAACATTGCTCTCAAGATTTAACCATGGTTATTACATCTTATATTTATAAGTTTTAGAGGCAGTTAACATCAAAATATTTATAAATATAAATTATTTAGCAATTTTTGCCACTGAACACATGATACGCGTACATTTCAAAGGAAGAAATTTTCATCTAAATTTTGAAAGCATACTGACTGCATGAGACTACCTTATATAATTATGCCATGATTAAACCTATAAACCAGTAAGCTGTAAATGCTTTATTTTTGGTCAAGACAAACACTTCTTCAACTGAATTGGAAGTATCGCGGTCCATGTTAAAGGCCGTACCAGCTTCCCTCATATCATGTTAGTAAAAACTGGTCCATAAAAAAATCATGGCATAGTTTTAATGTTTTAAATGTTCCCAAAATGTATTCGTCAGTTTTTGCAAATATCCTGACCTGTAGTAAAAATGTGGATTTTTTTGATTCAACGTCAACATATTTATTGACATGAATTACTTTTTAATGACATATTTTTTGGAAAGTTTCCCATTCATAACGTTACCTAAAATTCAACGAAGCGTACAAAAATATTCAACTTCCCCATTATGGCAAAATGTTTTGTACGGCCGTATTACCGAAATACGTCGAATCCATTTTTCTTAGCGAACTAAACAAAATCGCGAAATAAAATTAAGAAATCATAAAATGTGTTCAAATATTTCATATTCTTATTGAAAAAAGTTTTATGTTTTGTTTCTTTTTTCAACAAAAGAAAAAAACAAAACTACGTTCTGTCATAGTTGAATTTTTTCAACTTTGAAAATTTGTACGTCGACGTATTTCGGTAACATTCATATAAATACATGTGTTCTACTTTTGTGGTGAAAAACGTCGAACGAGCTAGTTGAATTTTAGGTAAGGCTGTCAATCTAAAGGGTCCCATACACTATAAATCATGCCGTCATGCCGATGAATCCCTTTTTGTATATGTGAGATTGACTAGTGTATGGCAAACTCTTCAATCACTATTCCAAAAAATCGATTTTTGTTCCAAAAATTGCATTTTGAGTCGTAAATTCAGTTGTTTTTTTATTCCGTCACAATTTTATAATTTTTGTACACAAAATTAATTACTGAAAACTTTTAAAATGAGTATTATTCACCAGATTGATAGGGGTTCATTTTCAAAATCAAAACTATACATACATAAATAAACTTTCAAAAAATAACACATACTATGATAAATGCTGTACGGCATGATGTATAGTGTATGGGGCCCTTAAAAATATTCATTTTGAATGGCTCTACTACAATATTGTTCATGTTATTATTTGTTCTGTTCCCGTACTGCAAGAATCTAACAATTATTTGTTATTAAAACTCAATATTGGTCTATCCAATTTTTAGTTTTCTGGATCATTTACAGCCTTATTCTGAATGTCAATTCCACGTGAATTTACTCGCACTTCCCCTTCGTCTTATTCTGAATAACATTTTTGTGTGAATTTTTTCGCATTCTCGCTTTCGCCTTATTCTGAATGAAGTTCGAAAGCGAAAAAATCCGCTTTGGGGAAAAATGATGATGAAATTTTGTGCGAAATTTTTCGCTAATAAATTCAAAGTGAGTTGACTACAAAAAAATAAGTAATAAATATTTTTATGAAAAATATTAACACAATACTTATTCTATGACGATTTAGAATATTATAAATGATAGTAAGCAAATATTTATCTGGAAAACAGCAAATAGAATGCCTTTGGAAATCCTATTGATAATGATGCATACTGAACCAAATATTGCCAAGGAATGTATAAAGGTAATAATGAATATTTAAGTCGAGTTTGATGCATTTTGGAGGCGAAAAACAGATATTTTGGGTGAGGATCTGTATCTCAAGAAAAAAATTATAGAAAAACAAAATTTGCCTAATGAGCCGCTTAACAGTGAAAAACTTAAATAAAAATTATGAAACAAAAAAAAAATATTTTTTTTTTTCAAAATTATCGTTTGCATTATTTGAAGGAAGAAATAAAGGAGTAGGAGCATAACAGGCCACTTTAAGAATATCGAAATTAAATAAAAAGGCACACAATTATGTGCCTGTGTTTTTCCCATCATAAAAAAAATTTTCTTTTATTTGTAATCTATTGTAGTTGTTGTACCAAAATGCATCAAAACAATGAACAGCAGTTTCACATGTCATATTGTAGGTTGCCATATTTTCAAACTTTAATTAATTTTCTTTTAATTACAAAGCATTTATAATGCGGATTCTTGATATTTCACATTTATATTGTTATAAAGTTTAAACCACAATAACAAGTAACAATTTTTAATAAAATAATCAATAAATAAAATATTGAAAAATATTACACAATTAAATTACAATGGGGCAACACACATTACAACTTAAATTACAATATGGCAACACACATTACAACTTAAATTATAATATGGGAACACGTATCTTTTTTTCAACCACCATTTTCGAAAACTCGAATCCGCATCTCGCATTTTTTGCGTCTCCCTATTCATTCAGAATGAGGCGAGAATGTGAAAGCGAAAATTTTTGTATGTGCGAGATATCTCCCAGCCAATATCCAGAATAAGGCTGTTAATGTTGCGGTCAACTCCTTTAGGATACCATAATCTTTTTTTACGTCAGTATTTGGACCATCCTCATCTAAATATATAAAAAATTAATAACAAAACTGCGATCATTAAGCTCAACTTGAAAGAGAAAAAAACTGACTTAAAAATCATTTAAAAGACTAACATGCTAAACTTAAACAAAAAGCCAGAACGATAGCCTACGTAGAAAAGTTCTATGAGCACGAAAAAATTTCGGGGCCAAATTGTTATAATCCCTATCAAAAGTGTAATATTGGCAACGAAAAATAAAACTCCAAAAACGTTAGAATATTTTGAAATTTATTAAAGAAAGTTAATATAACAATTTTTAAAAAAATGTTTTTAAATAATAAAGAGCATTTATTTCCGTTTTTTTTCTTTTTGTTTGTAAAGATGTGACCAGCAAACATTTTTTCATACACAAATATAAGCTTTTGTTTTTGTTTTCCAGCAGAAATTAATTTCGTTTACGAATTAACTTCATCCAAAGTATGAGCCATCCAATCCGGTTCTGCTGCAGCAATTTTTTCTATAATTGAGTTGACCTGATAGCACAGCGATTGTATCTGACGATCCCACAATGGTAATACTTCACGTTTTTCAAAATGAACAATACCGCTGATTTGATCGATGTGCCCATTCATACGACCCTCAGTTATCATTTGCGAAGCAATATTTTCAGCCTTAGATGCGGGTATTTCTAGCAGAGCTCCCAATTCTACAAACGTTATGTTGTTATACAGCTTACTTGCCGACAAGAGATTATGCTCGAAAACAGCACGATCTAAAATCGATGACCCGTCAACGGTTGCCGCCTTTTGATGCGGTTGTAATAATGCTTCGAATTCCTGTAACTCGGAACGACGTATAATGCGATCCAAGTACATTTTCTCCAGAATCGAATAGGCAGGCAGTTGTTGGCAGCGTTCGTCTTTGAAAAGAGTGGCTAACATACGGGAACGTTGTTGTCCTGCAGAAGCCAGCACAGTACAAATGAGAGCTTTTTTCAGTGCAGTCATCCGTTCACCCTCATCGACAATTGTACGGTAGGAGAGTTCGTTGTAACGTTGGGCAGCTTCAATAAACTTGCGACGATAGTCAAGGACACGAGCATAGCAAACTTTGTACATGACCTTTGTAAGGAATAGTAGATTCAATTATAAAATCGCAACTTAATCCCGATAAACCAATTTACCTGTAACTCTTCACTATGTGTCTCAGCCTGATATAAAGACGCACGGTTTATGAAAAACTCAGCTTGTGCTGAATCGTTCTCCTCCAAAAAGAGACGTGCTATCTTCAAATAGGTCTCCAACTTATAGTCCACTGTATACTGTTTCTGCCCGGTCTCCAATGGTATACCGACTAGGACATTGGCAGCGTCACGCCATTGATGGTTACGTTCATATATATCCGCTAAATGCTGACGAATGCCAGCAACTTGTTCTTCAAAAGAGATTACTCGAGGTTGTACCTTGTCCAAGGTAAAATGCGACACAACTTTGGAAACATCATCGGGCAGCTTACTTAATTGTATGCCAACGTCATTCAATATCTGACGTGATATGACCAGACTAACATGTTCGTTAACAATTGCTTCAACAAATAATTTTAATGTATCGACCAGGTCATTGCCGGTATTGGTCAATACCATTTCCAATAATTGACGATACCGGTCGGTCTGTTCTTTGTGGGTGCCGGAAAAGTTGACCAAAGCCATTAGTTGGCTGCGTAAATTGTTGGCGCTAATAACCATTATCGGTTCTTATTGTTTATAGCACCCAAAATCCACAAAAACAATTTTATTTCCAAGGTGTTGTATCCTTCCGGAACGAATAAGTTCAAATAAATTAGTTTGTGAAAAGAACGGTCGGAACTAGTTTGAAATGATAAATCATAAAGGAGACAGAAGAGAATGACCAACATATTGCGTTGTGTTTACGAATGAGTGTGAGGTATATAGCCGATATACAATCAGCTGATAATTGCTTTGTTCCTGTACAGTTAATAAAAAATAGGCATGGAATAATTATGGAAGTTAGTCTCATTTGAGAAATTGAAATTAAATAAAATTTATTTTCTAAAGCTGCACATTGCTCTCAACATTTAAACATGGTTGTTACAACTTATATTTACAGGTTTGAGAGGCAGGGAACTTCAAAATATTTATATATACAAATGATTTAGCAATTTTTTGCAAACATTAATAGTATGTTTGTGTTGTCAAATATTTGAATGATCAAAAATATCAATTCCAATGCATATATGTCAAATAAATCCTCATAAAGAAGGTTAACCCGGCAAAAAGTTCTAATGCCGTTTATGTTAAATTTAACTCGATTAAATCTACTTAATATATGGATCTGCACGAAATCCTATGCAAAATCGAGAAAATTTCAAATACAATCCTGTTTTTGTACCAAAAAATTATCGCTTCTCCTTAAAGTATACTTTATACTTTAAAATTAGTTAATATTTAAAATAAATTCCTAAAAAAAGTATGTCAGCTGCTGAAAATTTTATTTTTTTAATTTATAATAAGTATTACTATAATTTAAAACATTTTTTTAATGCATTTCTGACCGAATGAAGAGCAATTCCTATCAAAATTTTGAAAATTGCCACAGAAATTAATAAAGCAGTGTTATTTATATGTTTACGTAAAATAATAACAACTGACAAATGCAATGCACAAATCCACAAATAGGATTTAATATTTCGATTTACAAATCGAGTCGAAGCTAAATCGATATAATTTCAAATACAACCCTTTGGCACCAAAAAACAAAAAACAATCACATTTCCTAAAAGTAAGCTTCATAATACGTTTAAATTAAAAATTGTAACGTAACTAAAAATATAATGCCAACTGAAAATAAAAATATATATAATGCTTGTTACTATTGGACTGTTCATGGTAGAATTATAAAAGGTAGGATATCTTTAGTCAAAAAAAAAAAAAAAAATACACTTCTACGTTGTGGGTTATAAAGTCAGAATATATAAAAACACATGCAACAAGTCGTCATTTGACACATATTTATCATTTTGCCAAAAACGCGAAAAATAAATGAAATGACAGGTTTTATTTTCAAAATCGAGTTGGGAATATGTTCACAAATCATAAATTTATTCTTACCAATTTTGTAAAATTCATCTTGAAACAAATGGAATTTTGAATTTATTTTCAATATTTTTCACACATTTTGAATATGTCTGGCATAACAAGCCACAATATGCAAAAAATTGTAACCTATAAGTTGCCATTGCCCTTTTTTGAATAATTGTACCATGTTAACCCGGTAAAAAGTTCTAAAGTAAATGCCGTTTTAGCAGGGAATAATGCGAAAAGTTGCCACATTTCCAAATGTGGCAACATATTTCATTTGCATTTTGTTCATTCATTCGTAAACAATGGTCATTCTTGGCAATTTTGCTTTGAGTCTCTTTTCTACTAGCCTATCTCCAATATTCGTAGAAGGTGGAACGTTATTAATTTCGATGGGTTCAGAGTACGAGCTTCGACGAAAAGGAAAGGACGGAAAAAAACTTTTTAATGAGTTTGTTTTTGTATTATTAAAATATTAAAAAAGGGATATAATTTATCGGAATACAAACTACTAAAATTCGGTGTGAAAATTTGGATTACCCTGCCGGCCATTAAGGCCATAACTTTGTTTTGAAAATTTTCAAGGTGCATAATAGTTGATGTTTGTATCTATTGTTTGTTGTTGGTGCTTGACAACATATACAACAAGGCAGCCAGGCCGTAGCGTGAGTAGTGTTGTTGTTGGTGTTGTCACAACATTCTGCTTCTCTACTCATTACCTCCACAACAACAACATAACACCATAATTATAACCAACTAGCAAGCGGCTACAAGAAGAAAAGAAAGCAATGGGTTATGACCTACATCGTTTCCAGGGCGAGGTCGACGAGGAATTAACATGTCCAATATGTTCCGGTGTGCTGGAGGAACCCTTACAGGTATGTATATAAACTGGTTGTCTCGTTTTTTTTCGATACCGAGCATCTAAATACATTTCTATATATGTGCTACTAGGCGGCAATGTGTGAGCATGCATTTTGTCGTGCATGCATAAATGAGTGGCTGTCTCGCCAACCAACATGTCCTGTCGATCGCAACTCTTTAACGACAGCAAATTTAAGAGCAGTTCCAAGGATATTAAGAAATCTATTGGCAAGGTAAGTTAATGGGGCAAGTCAACGTATTTCAATACAATTGAAATACCTCGTTATGCTGATATAAATTCTATTTAAAATATATTGTTGCATTTGATAATATATACAATTTTTCTTATAGGCTGTCCATAACCTGTGATAATGCTGCACACGGTTGCACATTGGTACTAAAACTTGATGCACTTAATGCACATCTAGAAGAATGTGAACACAATCCAAAAAAGCCATTGCCATGTGAAAAAGGCTGTGGCATTGTTATACCAAAAGATGAGCTCAAGGATCATAACTGTGTACGGGAACTGCGTGCCATGATATTGACACAGCAACAGAAAATGGTCGAGTTCAAAACGGAAATATCTGATCAAAATTTAACCATAAATGAATTGAAGCGTGAAGTCCAGCTATTTAAAGATTTTATGCGTGCTATGCGTGTTTCCAATCCAGCTGTGCGTGCTATTGCCGATCAAATGGAACGTGATGAAGTTATTCGTTGGAGCAGTACATTGTCTCGGGCACGTGTAACACGCTGGGGTGGTATGATTTCAACACCTGATGATGCACTACAGGTGGGTTTTGGAAAAAAATTACTGTTAATATATATTTCTAATTATATACTATAAAATTTTAGATGATGATAAAACGGGCTTTGTCGGAATCTGGTTGTCCCCCGCACATCTTAGACAACCTAATGGAAAATTGTCATGAGCGACGCTGGCCCCGTGGTTTGAGTTCTCTAGAGACAAGACAAAATAATCGCCGCATTTATGATAACTATATTTGTCGGCGGGTACCAGGTAAGTGTAAACTATTTATAGGAGTTCACTTGGAGAATGTTTAACAAATATGAAAAATATATATAAGCTAAAAAAGGTAATGTTTAACTCAGAAAACATCCGTCATATAAAACTAATCCTCAGTCATGGATATTTTCTTAATTTATAGGTTCAGTATGGTTCTGAGATGTTTCATTTCATTATTAAAAAAAACTTCCCACGATTAGTCCAAGTTGTTGTGCGGCTGAGTTGCCAACCCTATCCCTTCCCTGATATTTGATATTTATCTCTATCTTTTGTGCATATGTTTGTAATATGCAAAAGAAAACGAAATAGACCCAGGGATATTTTTGAGAATATGCATAGAATCACTTTCTGCTTCCGTCCGTCAAAATTTTTTACCACAATAGTCGAACGATTTGGAAAATAATCGAACATTTTTCTTTTCTCGAATATAAAGAGGTTATGTGGTTTTCTTGTTTTCTTTAACAAAAATACACGTTTATCTGTAATTACAATCGGTTATTTTTAAATTTTTATTCATTTTTGAAGCCGATAATTATTTTTAAATAAAAATATCCAATGTCGGGTAATGTGGACCACTATAAAAAAGTGGGACATTTTCATGAGGACGATCGAAACAAGGACGCATTTAATATAGGTATTCTATCCTCTGAAAACTCGATATCCGAAATTTTAGGTGCCTCGGTTGGATAATGTAGCAAGGACCTTCAAAATACCGCAAATTAGGTGGTACCCTTAAACTATTCCAAAACATGGATCCATATATTTTTGCATTCATTGTTACCCAAGAGTGCAATAAATTGAAATTTATCACAATTAATCCACAACCTACCTTTAACATACTGATCCTTATTACCCACACTTACTGGTCCACATTACCCGCCAAGTTATTTTTATTTGAAGTTTAGAGTTTTTTGAAATATAATGCAATAACATTTTTATGGACAAATATATATACTTTTTGACCTGGAATATAATATATGAAAACAATTTGTTTTTATTTTTTATCGTTGTTACGCGTACAATATAAAAAAAAGAAAATGGTGGTCCACATTACCCGAAGTTACTCTAATATCTGAATGAGATGAAATTTGACACAGGTCATTTACTTGCTCAAAGGACTGACCCTTTGCACAAAAGAGCGCAACGTATCGAAAAAGTGAAACGATATAATTTTTAGTGGAGAAATTTGGTACTCAATAAGAACACATTACAAAATTTTGGCGATCTATCTCAATTCGTTTAGAGGCTAGAGTAATTACAAGAGACAGAATTTTACGCATATATATATATAATTTATAGGGTCGGAAATAATTATTTCGAAAAACAAACTTAATATAGCCTCCATACTATGGTGGAGGTCCATCTTCTTGTCAATGTCCAATTTTATGCAATGGTCCTTCAAAAATGCAAGGTCTGTTGGGGTGCATCTCTTGAAAATAGCCAAAGTGGTAAAGGGTATCTTATAGACGGCCCCGTCCGGCTTTACTACTTTCCTTACTGGGTTTACACAGTATTTTAGGATGATCACAATGGAAAATATATATCCGAGTGGAGCACATCCTTTAACCTAGTGTGGTAAAGAAAATATTAATATCTGCTTTAAAAAATTGTGTTTTTATTTTTCACAAGTAATGTAGTAATTCCAAATTTCTTTTTTTTCTCCTTACATTTCAGGCAAACAAGCTGTATTAGTTCTAAGTTGTGATAATGCCCATATGTCTGAAGATGTTATGGTCGAGCCTGGTCTTGTTATGATATTTGCTCATGGT